AAAAAAAAAAAAAAAAAAAAAAAAAAAAAAGGAAGTCTTAAATGGTACAAACTATAAACACGAAGTGTGGCCTAGTATTGCTGAAAAACCACAATTTAAGAATTTTAGATGGTGTGAGCTGCGTTTTAATGGGTTACGGACAAACAGGTTCTGGAAAGAGTTTTACCATTAATGGCCTTAGAAATAACTGGGAAGTACGATCGAACATTTTCTATTTTCAATTTTACAATCGAGGAGCTTATAACAAAGACAGTTTGCGTCGAATTTTTCAACAGTATCGATCGATATTATAAAAAACAATCTATCTATCATATCGTCAGATAAAGATTAGATGTTGAAATGTTCCTAAAAAAAAAAAGAGACACATTAACGCGGGTGGTTTTTGTTATGAGCCTTTGCAATTGCAAACACAGTGACGACATTTCGTTTCCTCAGCACAGAGGCCTGGTCACTCGGCTTTTGTCCTGCATGTTCGCTGAGAAGGCAAACAGAAGGAAAGTCAGCAAGATAGAGTACCATACAAGCTTCGTCGAGTTGTACGGCAAGGAGGCGAGGGATTTACTGGCCTTTGACGTGGATAACAATAAAGTGAAGATAAACGAGCGAGAGCCGTTCAAGGTGTTATAAAATATTTGATAGAATAAATGGAACAAATGGTACGGGACATTTGACAGAACTGTTAAGAGAGAAAAATTCTAGGATATCTCTGTGGTGCGCATGAATAATGAAAAAGAAGGTTTGAGGAATATTTTCAAAGGAGAAGTCAGACGATCGATTGCGAGAGACTCGGCTTATCCGGCGTCTCATTTAGCCACGTCTGTGATTACCTTTCACGTGACTAACACGAGCCTAGTTACATCCTGGGGCATTGTGACCACAGCGAAAGTAATTATTCAGCCTGAGATACGTATCTACAAAATTCTTTCACAGCGTGAAATTGAGAAAAATCGTAGATCGATCGAACGAACGATGGCCCTCAAGGATTAATTAGAAATTTCATTGGAATGTTAGATACACATTGTGGAAGCAGCTGGTACAGGGACTGTAGGAAGGAGTTGTTGCTGTTGGAAAACGGCCACGGACGTTGGTGTGGCGAATTTAATGAAGATTCAGCTCGAGCAATTCTTTTCATACGTAGGACGTTCGAGATCGTCCGTCGTTAATGTAACGCGGTCCAGTAATTTATTGAAAATTTTAGGAGATACTACCTTGGTTTCCTCTGTAATTCGGTAATTAAAGAAACCGTACCGATGCACGATAGCACTTAACTTATTTAAAGTTATTTATTATTAGTGACTCGTGATGTAACTATGTACTAGATTCATATCTCACATTCGAATTACAAGAGAAGATCTCGATATCACGTTATCGACTTTAAGGTTCACCGCGAAAATCGCAAGGTTGAAACCGGTCAGGATAAAAAAAGATGTTGGTTATCGATCAGATTTGATACTGCATAGGCTGCAAGAAGAAGTTGACGCTTTGAAAAAAGAACTGATGTTGAACGACATGTTCTTGCGACAGGAAGCGCTTATAAATATCTCGAAGGCCCGAATGGAGCAAATTAATCGGATTATTCTTCAATTTTTAAACGACAAGATCTCCGACTTCACGCTGTTTAGCGCGTCTCAGGCCCAAGTGTTGCTAAAGAATATCAAGGATCTGTATAACAGGTTGCATGATCTGCGTTATCTGTAGGATAATTCTCGCTTCAGTTTTTCTAAAACATTGAATCATTAGATTGAGCACCAAGGAACTTGAAGTTGAAAAGTTAAAAGAGACGTACGAAACTTTAGTGAGAAGTGTGTCGGAAGTTAGTTCAGCGGAAAGTTTACCTAAGGTTGATCTTCAATAAGATTTGCTTTAATACTTATGTAAATTCGTATATTTTCTATAAATATATAAAATATTTATCGTTAACATATCTTTCATTGCACGTTGGTACATTTATAGAAAGCTGAATTGCTTGCTGATGAACAAATCGATGAACAGGAAAGGATTAGAAGTTCGTTGGATGAAGAAGACACGAAGGTGAAAGGAATTGGAAGTTTAGACAAATCCAGTAAGTCCATCATTATTTTATTCAATGATATAATTTTTATTGAACATTCAAGAAATAAAATTTAATATTGGATAGCGATAGGCGTGACTTTAGGCCCATACGCAGACGAAGAGAAAAATCTAAAATTGAAACGTTCTACGTCGTCTAAACATATTCTGAAAATTGATGACGAAAATATGATAGCGGTTAGACTTTACTCTATACCCCCCCTGACCATCTTCATGTGTTACTAATTTACACGTATTGGAAAAAAAAAGGTTCGACGTTTATTCGACACTTTCTTAAAAGAAGAGGCAGAATATGCAAAAATTAAGAAAAATTTCGATAAAAATGAGAAGACCCTTGCCGCTGTTCGACAAAGGTTCACGTGTGAGATCGATAAATATTTCCAGGTATATGTGATGATTCATCTTGAACTTGAGTTTGAACAGTTTTATTAAAAATCTTGTTCGTCAGGCAAAGAGAAACTTTGACGATGCACGTAATAAACTTAGTAAGCATCAGCAAACTCGACAGATGATGGACAGTTGGAAGGGGAAAGAAGCTACATGTGAAATCGAGAGAACAATCGAGCGAGATATTTCATGTTACCAGAAAGTATTAATTAACTTAGAGGAAGAGGTTGATCAAACTCAACGTGAAATTGACATCCTGTCTAATCGACACATTGACATGAGTTCGAAGTTAGAGTGCGGTTTTCGAGAATATTGCAAGAGGAAGGCCTTTCTGTTGCATTATACTGATAAATTGATGAAAATATTGCTGACACCTGCGAAAGAATCTGTCGATATAATCCGGCACAAGTTTGACAAGTTTCAACGGAGAATATTGCGCGGAACAGAGGTAATTTGTTTAAATTTGAAATTTGTAAATCTTAAAAATTTTTAAATTTCCTTTCGCGTTAGGAAACAGAAAGAATGAAGAAAGCACGACTTGACAATAAACGGATATGCGCTAGTGCTAATTTATAACTAACGAAAGTATCATGTTCTTAGTAATAAGTACTAATATTCTATTAAATTAATAAATGCATTTTTGAGTAACTATATAAACTGTATTTTGAATTTAAAAGATAAACGGCAATTTACCGCGAAAATAAGAAGAGCCATCTATTGATCTTTTAACGAACTACGTTAAGAACGTTATACAGCGTAAGTATACCGACAGGTGGAACAAAATTATTCTCGCCTCTCAAAACGTCATTACACAGTTGGAATAATCATCAGATTCTTATCAACATTGTGAAAGTTACACCATTTTCAAAAAGGTATAAAACGTAATTTTTTAATTAATGCCTTTTATGACACGTTATCTACTTGATTTGACAAGAACTATCTCTTAATGAATTTAGCTCTTTTTGTTTTGTTGTACGTTTTCGGTTTGATTTATAGGTTTTATTTCTGATATATGTATAGATTATATCAATAAGTAATCAGAGCGTAATCTAATGCTTAACTCTTTATTGATCGATTACGTATTTTCTGTTTAATTCTTTTCTATTCAAACACAAATATTTCTACATATTATCGTTATAATCTTTTTTAAAATCGTAATCATAATTTTTGCAAGACAGAAAAATTACTACGCTAAGGGCATTAACCTATAAATAGAATCAAGTAGTTTCAGTAATACGAGTTCAATCTTCATATTCGAGGACCGTTGGCCAAATTGTCTTATGATGCGGCTGTTAATGTCACATTACAGAACTGTAAACAGAAATTCAGTTAATTGCCCCGCAGCCAACGGGGATACATATGTACATGGATTCTTCATTCTGTAGAAATATTTCGAGAATATAATTGCAGATATCGTTGTATCACTTTTAAATTTACTTTTAATTAGTGCGATGCAAATTTTACCTTTATATTCAAAATGGAATTTGTGTTCTATTCAGTTTTGTAAAATTTTTCATTCTAGGATAAAAATTGCCCAAGGCCATATTGATGAGAATTGACGTACGGATTTGTTAGAATGAGAGATAAAAAGGTAATAAGTATCATACGTCGTATACAAGTATGTTTCAGTATTTGTAATATAATTTCCTACATCAAACATTAATTTTCATGTTTAACTTACATGCTAATACAAAAGAAAGAATTACTTGAGATATTGTTAGAAGAAGGAAAAAGATATTTATTTATAATGGAGGAATTTTACAATGAGCTGAAAAAAATGTCATGCGACGAAAAGTTGCTATCCCTACTGGATCGTTATTCGCGAGTAAGTTTGGAACATAAAAAAAAAAAAAATGATTCCTGTTAATGGTTTTTGTAATTTTGTTAATATTATTGATTAGTTAACTAATATTTCTAATACTATGGTCTTAATATTATTAATAGATTGTAAATTTTTGTGCATTTATAAAATATTCGAAAGTACAAAAATATATAGAGTGTATAGAAATGTTAAAACATAAAGAATATTCAAAGTATAGTATCTTTTTTCATTAAAGGTAAAAGCAATCCTCTACTTAGATTTTTTATTTAATTATGGTTATAAATATGAATATTTAATTATGGTTAAAAATATGAATATGTATAAATATGTATAAGTATTAACAGTATAATTATGAAATAATCCTTAAATAGTTAATTTTTGAATAATTGTTAAATAATTTTTAAATGCAGTATAAGATACGATTGAGAGAGGATATGGAAAAACTGAGAGAGATGTACGACCGTGACATTGTCGTGGATGTTAATGATAATGATGATGATGATGATGAGGACGACGATAATGATGATAACGATGATGATGATGATGGTGATGATGATGATGATGATGCAGGTATAGAAGATGGGAATGAGATGGAATATATGGAAATAGAACTAGAAGAGGATGAAGATCTTTTTTTCGAAGAACAATTCCAATATTTTTGTAATATTATGTACCGAAAGTATACTCTTGCCAATATGGAAATGTTCATTTTACGGCTGTTAAAAGCAAATGAAAGTTCCATGAATCTTCAGTTATCAATATATTCGAAGTTGCAGATCTGTTTGAAAAGATATTGTAAAAGAGTGCGATTGTTTTTGAGAGGAAATAAAATATTTGTACAATCGCAGGACGGTTTCAGAAAAAAAGAATTAAATACAAGAACAAAAAATAAATATAAGCAACTACAGAGGCTTTTACTTACGATCAGAGAGGTATAGTTAAATGGAAAATTATTACGAAATTATTTTTGCTAATCAAACATTACGATTTCTTTTGTAATCAAACAAATAATTTCTTTTACAATAAAGAAACAAATATTTTTTATGGAAATTATGGTTCAGCCACGTGCGATCGAAAAAAAACGAAGAAGAGAAAAATAATAATTAAAATTCGTACATTGCGATTTCATTACGTATGGAAGAAAATTAAATTGTATTTTTTGTTTACTTTTGTATCAGTTTAATACATTAAAAATAAATGATTTTTATTTTTGTACATTTAATATATCCGTTCTTCATTTCTCCTGCTCGTATTAATATAATTGATCATCTCGCGGTTATTTTGGTCTTCTGATTATCAGAAAAATGAATATTTCAGAAATTAACTACAATTTACAGAAATATCTTCCCTATATTTTTAATACAGTCTAGAAGAATTTTATTTGAACAAATATTCCAAACAGACTTTGCAAATCTTTATACATATATTTTATAAATCGAATAGAATATCAGGAAGAAGCTTAGAATCTCATTTAAAAGATGCAAATATAAGAGTTTGTAAATTGTTCCGTTTGATTAGGTTTTTTTGCGAATTAAAAATTTAGTTGATGGAACTAAAATTGATATTCTTGTCTCACGCTATTTTCTTTGTCTATGGTTGATTTTGTCATCTGAGCAACTCTCAGTTCTGCCATTGACTGCTAGATAGTTTTAAACATATCCGATAGATGGCGCAGCTTACTTGTTCATAAACAAGGGAAGCAACAGTGCGACAAGAACAGTCATGGTTTCACCATTCTACGTGGCGCTACTATCTCAGCATCTATAAATGCAGCAAATTTTTGTTTCCAAATTAACAGCTTTAATTTATTATCTTTCGTGACATCATTCGTTTAATTAAGGCTTTTCTTTCACAAGTTTCATCACTTCCATTTTGATATAATTATAAGTCTTTAAATATATAATGGAAATACATTGGTTTGTTATATCGAGTATAGTACATTAAAGAATTATTTATTAAAGGTTATTTATACCGTTGAGTGAATTAATTATACGTTTTCCTTTTCCTCTTTCTATCCTACATTTTCCTCCTATATTTTTCACTTTTATTTTATAATTCGTACTCTCCACATTTTAGTTCCAGCCAACTAATATTTCCCAGTTTTTATTTTCTAGTTTAGCTTCCTTATTATGTTTCCAAGTTTTTCTTCTTTTACTGAGTGTTCATTTCCTAGTGTTCTATGCCATTTGTCCTTTTTTGTATTTTGTATTGACAATGCAGTTTTGTTTAGCGGAGCAAGAATTTAAAAAACAATAAAATAAAATATAATACAATACATGAAAAAGATAGGAATATACGTAATATAAATAATGAATTGTGTCCGATTTTTTTCTAAGTTTATAGCACAAAGTTCAGGGCAGTACATACTTGTTCTTTGTTAATAGATCAAAGTACGCAAACTTATTGCAAATTGTACGTGCGGTAATGTAAATATCCCGGTAGATGTCACTAATTTGTTTCATACGTGCGCTGTAGATCTTTCAGATCTCAATTGACGTTCAACGTCGGTGGATCGCGCGTTCGTGTAGATCTTTCGTTTCTTTTCGTGACTTGCGCTAACAGGATGTTCGCTTAAGTGCGGAAAGAAAATCAATCAGAATCAATTAATTCTTGGCGTTCTCGCTGGCGAACGACAAATGATCGAGTGTAATTACCCTACTGCGTCATGTCGGCGTCAAGTGAATACATTTGTCAATTATCTATGGAGGAGAAAGCATACATGGCGGCTAATTTGAACGAAACCGACGACGTCAGGCCAATTAAAATTGCTGAATTAAGACAATGGATTATGGAGAATAAAGAGCTACGTGCTCCCACTGGTATTCGCCATTTATTTCAAACGCTCAGCTCAAATTGTTTTTCTTTCTTCTTTTCCTTCTTTTTTTTTTTCTTTTATTTCTGTGTTCTTATCTTATATTTTCTTACAGATGATTTCTTTATCCTTCGTTTCCTGAGAGCTTGTAAATTTAACACAGAGAAAACGAAGTCTAAATTGTGGAATTATTATAAGCAGAGAGCGAACCTTCCAGAATGGTACAGCAACAGAGATTCATCTCTACCAATATTACAAGAGCTCTTTGATTTAGGGTAATGTTTACAAAAATACGTACGTTTTGTTTTAAATTTTCTTATATTCTGAAACGGTATTTAAAAAGTTAATGTACTTCAATTATGTCTGTTACTTACAAAGATCAAATATGGTGAATAATAATGATCAATGATATTGTTATTGACGGCTTTCCTGATCACGTTTAGTATTGTTAGTATCTTTTCGTAGACACGAGATCGCGTATAACGATAGCTTATCTGAGCTTATCCGAGCATGATAAATCGTCATATGCACTTGCAATTGACTATTGCTTCAGTTTCAATTCAGTAAGTGAACCATTTGTTTACTTTAAACAATTGTCAACAATGTCGCAATACTTATGCATACATATATGGTTCAAAAGTCACTTTTTTTTTTTTAGTATATTTACACGTAAATCCATAACATGTAGTTCTCATTATATAATTGAAGAACATGCAAAGAATACATTCTTCATGTACAAAGAATATCAGAGAAATCGTTTCTTTTTAAGTTTGATCTTCCAGGGTGTTTCTGCCTTTGAAGAAATTAGATGACGAGGGCAGAATGGTTGTGATAATACGTGCGGCAGTACATTCTCCCAGTAAACACAAAATCTCAGACATGTTGAAGGTATGAAGAAACAATTACTAGTCAAAGTTGTAGAAAATGTAATCACAACTTGCAAACAGTACATTCTCCCAGTAGGCACAAAATTTCAGACATGTTGAAGGTATGAAGAAACAATTACTAGTCAAAGTTGTAGAAAATATAATCATAACTTGCAAACAAAAGAGATGAGTAATTGTATTTAATAGTCTTGCTAATTTCGTAGATACGATCGCGAATGAAATTTTCGCTTCGTGCAGAAGACGTGAAATTTAAAAGGGATTGCTTAAATATTTCTGTTACTTACGCTCTCATAAAAAAGTATAAAATGTTTAGGTGTTCTCACTCTAATACCATATCCTGTATAAAATAAAAATTGGAGCAACCAACTAACTTTCCTTTTTTTTTTTTCTTTTTAGGCATCGTTAATGATTCTGGATCTGGCGTTACGAGACCACGAGCCCGTAACAATTCACGGTATAACGGCTATCTTGGATATAAGTGGGATTACATATGAGCACGTTCTCCAATTATCACCGGCTGTTATTAAAAACCTAGTTCACGCATGGCAGGGTTGTTATCCCCTTAGAATTTACTCGCTCGATTTTATTAACGCTCACAGATTCTTAAATGTAGTATTGAACGTTTTCCGAAGCTTCATGATTGCGAAGTTGAAAGAAAGGATACACATTCATGCACGTGATAAATTGAAGTTATATGAAACTCTACCAATGAACATATTTCCAAAGGAGTATGGTGGTGTAGATGGAACAGTGAGAGAATTAAGCGGTACGCTTTTTTTATTTAATAGGGCGTTTTATATGTAAGTGCATGATAATCATGTCATTTTAATTATGTTTCAGAGTATTGGAAGCGGGCGGTTGAGGACAACCGGGAGTGGTTCGTCAAGGAAGAAAAATACAAATTGACGTTGATTAAGTGACTAGATTGAGTGTAATTTATGACAATGAGAGATTGCGCATGCAATTGTTCGGATCGTTAATAGAGAATTGTGCAATAGGCATTGAAATATTTTTTATTTTTTGTAAATGACTTTTATACAGAAAATAGAGAATGGGAAACGGAAATGTACAACACATTTTTGTTCTTTTCGCTTCAAAATATACCTTCCTTCTTTGCATCAATCGTTTTTCTGAGGCGTAAATAATCAGAAAGACTGATAACGTATAAAATGTAATTACTATACTTTACATTCTACAATATCATCATACATATTTCGTGTCTTAGAACCATATTACACTAGCGCATATTAATTATTCTAATTATACATATATATATATATATATATATTGTTTTCCAATAATTGCAAAACTAACAAATTTCTATTCTGTTTGCAGAAACATTGTTTCTTCGCTTTTCATGTTGTTTAATCATATTGGTCCTTTTTAGGTCACAAATTAAATAAAACGTACATTTAAGTCATGGGCAAGTAAAACTGTTCTACGTCTAAATTTGCTACTCGTTAACTTAACCACTTATTATTCGCAATCCCATTTACATTTGGGACGAATTTTACCAAGGGCACATCGTATTATATTTAAGTAAAAATCGTCTCGTTCATCGCCAAGCAATTTGTACAGCATATCTCTTCTTAATAGGTGAACTTAAACGAGACGATGAATACTTGTAAATATTCGTACTAAAATGCATTGCCACGAGGGATGCGCGTTATATTATATTACAGTTATTTAATTAAAAACAAAAAAGAGAAGATAAAAGAGAAGAAATTCCTAAGGGTCAGATATACAGATAAACAATCATTCTTCCTTGATTCACACATAAGGGATATTAAGCGCATAAGCAGCATCACATATATCTGAAGATTCACACACAAAGGGTGCAACGAGATCGTCTCGAGGAAGCTGCTGAAGCGATCTTCCCTCGCTTCGAGTCTCCACCGATGGTCGACAATTCGATGGTCGAGCCAGCGTGTTGTTATCTTGATTTCTCTCTTTCCATGTGGCAATAATTATTTTCAAAACGCTACGAGCACGTTCCTATCCCCGTTTAAGCCTGAGTACCACTATGCTTATCGTGAGGAATAGGATAATCCAGATGATAGTTGCGATGAAGCCCAAATAAACATCTGATTCTGACATGGACCAGCCGCGTGTCAGCATTGCACGTAGTGACGTTGTGGCCAATGTTAGTGGAAGACCCTGAGATAAGTATCGAAGAAATTTCGGCATACCTTCTATTGGCCAAATCACACCTAGAATTCGATAAATAGATTTTGAAGATACAGAATGAACAGAATAATAATGAATCGATTTGCTCGTTATAACATTTAGTAGATGAAACAATTTTCTATCGAGACTTCACTTTTCAATTATTTTCATAAATGTGTGAATTTGCATAAATACTTGCGACGTAGTAATAGCTAATTAAATGTTAATTATGGGAGAGTCGAAAAACACAACTTTATGGTTGGCTGTTGATATTTTTTTCTTTACTCGAGGTTTGCTATAATCGTATTGAAGTAATATCCTTGTGTTAATATCTTAAACGCGCGGACCAAGCATCTTTAAGTGGAACATAATTAAGAATGCGAATAACTTTCACTTTTAGTGGCCGACGGCCATCACAATGATTGTTGCTAAATTCGTGCGTTTTACACGGAGGAAATTCGTGCGTTTTACACGGAGGAAATTTTCCAACAGGAAACGTTGTGTTTTCCACTGTGACAAGATATAAGGTAAGAGGTAGCGCGTACCACAAAAAAAGACGATTTCGTTGCATCATTAACTTATCTTTTTACTTTACGTGTTCTTATCTTGTGCTACTACACGCTTTCAATTTATATAACATACATACCGCTTAATAGAAGCGTAGGATAGAAACTGCCCAAAGCTAACTGGATTGCATTCCTTTCGAGTTCGCAAATCGCTGAAATTACAAACCCTGGGAACAAGAAGGAGAACGTGAAACAATCTAATTTGTTTTGTCAACTTTTGTCTCGAGGAGAAGTCAACTAACATATTTCCTAAGATAGAAGAAGATGTTGAAACACAAATTATGCAAGAGCGGAGAGTTTTAACAGTTTTAACAGTCAAACACAATTTTAAGATGGATCAAGATGGATTCAGTTCCCATCGAATTTATCTATAATGTACTTAATTACCATTATTGTCCATAATCTCATTCACTATCAATGTTCTATCAATGACTAATTAATCATTGTGTACAATGCTGTTTTCATTTAACGTTTTTTAATTGTGCATGTTAAACTCACCGAAGCACATGCCGCAGAGACCCTGAAGTATCGTCAGTACGATCACCCAGCCGATCTGTCCTTGGCATTCAACATCAAACACGACGAGCATGAAGATAAGCACTAGTGCAGTTTGTCCACACATCACCACGAATTGGGTGATCACATGAGAGAAAAGGATCTCGGCTGGTGAAACGCCGGCTACCCAACTTCTATCCAAGAGGCCCTCCATTCTCTCCATGATCAAAACGGACGAAGTGAGAGCCACCGCCAAAAAGAAAATGATACTGCAAGAGTAACATTCGTGTTCTCAATGTAAACACCTGTTGAATCATTGCGCTTTAAAATCAGCTTGATAAGCTGATTTTCACTCACGTTAAAATTACTCCTGGCGCCACAAAGTCGGTGAATTTCGGTTGTTTCCTGCCGTAAATTGGATCCTTGAATTGAATCGGTACGTCAGCTAGCTTTGTGTTCTGATCGCAGGATGACAAAAGATCTTTAGCAAAGTCCCTGTATGAATATTGAAGCTCTCTGGCTAAGATCAAACCTATTTGTTGATCTGTAATAGTAATCAGTTGGTCATGTATCAGTTGTATTTGAAAATTTAAGGAAGTAATAACGATGCTTCAACAGCTTGGAAACTTACTGGACATATCTAGCCAGACTCTGATCTCACTCTGTTCTAACGTCTCGTCATCAGCTTCTCTTCCGAGGGCCATTCTTGCGACAAGAGCGTCCGTGAAGTTCTCTGTAAAATACAGAATTCCCCACGCGTCCCCGTTGCGGACCGCATTTTTCGCCGAGTGAGGATCCCGATAATATTTCTAGAATACATAATATAAATGTCTCTTGTTTTTGATAACTATGAATCGAAGCTGTAAAGTTATTCTCGACTGATTAATCAACAATGAAATAATAATCTTACCAGTTTCATCATGTCGTCGTCTAAAAATTTGAGGTACCGACAACTAAGATGAGAGAAGTTACAATCCTCCGTCACTGGGCAAGATTTATTTCCATAGATCATTTCATGATTCACTATAGCTATTTTCAAGTCTTTTGGATCCCTACCAATCGCAAGACAGAACAGCACCACTTGCATCACTGGCAATGCGAAGATGAACAGCATTACCCTGTAAGAATGTGTATAAGGGACGATTTCATTGCCTTCATCTATCAGGAAGAAGTCTAACGCGAGGGAAGCTTACCCTACATTCCTCCACATGCGCAGGAAGTTCTTCTGCAACAATGCTTTCATTTTGCCACTATTCGTAACATTATACCAATGATTGAGTTCCGTGCAATCGTTAAGAAACGTCGAATTCTTCATTTTTGACAACGGTTTTGCGCTCATCTATTCCATAGAAAAAAAAAAAAAAAAAAAAAACAGACATATTTAAACATTGAGTTCATTGATTTCTTTCATTATATCTCTACTTTTATTGCAGTGACTTCTATTGTACAAAGAAGAAGTTTCTCAGTGAACCTTACATCATAGTGATTCGGTATGCTGTTCGTCGAATCATGAATGAGAACCTCTTTGCTCTGATGGAAGTTTAAACCAACGACGCCTGATTCCTCTGTCACGTACACCGGTTCGGTCTTCTTGCCCCAGTTTAGAGAAGCCTGTACACGAGAATGTGGTCAAGATTAGTTTTACGCATTCTCCGTGAAATTTCTGCGTATTTTAACACGTTCGGTGCCAAGCCATTTTTGCCTTTTATTGTCGTTCAGGCCATTTGATATTTTGACTAAATTATTATTATAATATTATAATATTATAATATTAAATATATATTATAATATTATAATATTAAATATATTATTACACAATCTTTCATTACATAATCGATAATAAGTAGTTCTCTTGTTTAAGTAGCTATCACATCGTGTACCACTTGTGGTAATATTATTAGAAATATGGTGGCCAGCTATCACATCGGTACCACTTGTGGTAATATTATTAGAAATATGCTGGTACACGTGGCCTCTGAAGATCAAGTTTAACGTGTACCACCGGTGGCACACATGGCACGGAACGTGTTAAATAAGATACATATATATATATATATATTTTATTTATTTTTGAGTATTTTTCTGATAAAGCAATTTAACTAATATTTCAACTAGATATGACATTCTACTTTCTTACCAGACTAATGTTATTCGTGATGTTCAAATCCGTTGACTGGGTGTTCTGACCTTCCTGCCGCGACAGTTTCAGGAAAGCCTCTTCAAGAGAGTTGCAGTTGGACATCGTCAGAAGAGTCCTGGGGGACTCTTCAGCTAGTAAATGACCGCTCCTCATCAATCCGATCTAAAGCCGATAGAAAGGATTTTTCATGCATAAATTTTCAAGCCCTTTGTCAAGGTCAGCGTTTTAAAATTAAATTCTTCGGATCGTTTACGAAGAGAAACTCCATACAATGAATGAGATTTATTTATATGAAATGTATAGAGTATGTCACGTAATGCGAAGGAATTTATTTTTAAACGTTTGTACTACTTTATATAAAATATAAATATAAATATAAAAAAATATGAATTTCTGTGAAAATGTGCATTTGTGACATTTATATAATTATTTTCTCGATTCTATTCCGTCTCATACGTAACTATTGTTGCTTCTTTTTGTTCTGTTCTTCTCTTAAGGCAAAGTCAAGAAACATATATATACACATATACAAGCAAAGTGTAATTAAGAGCTC